CGGGAAAAGGCGGGAAGGGCCCCGCGTCTCCCGGCTCCAGCGGCGCCACCGGCGCCTCCTGCTGCTCTTTGTCCGGCCCGCAAGAAATCACCCTGTTTCCCTTCACCAAACTGTCAGTAATGAAGTCCCTAAGGCCCAGAGCACATTTGAGCCCATCAAGTAACACCCTTAATTACAGGAGTGGCGATGACACCCGTGAGTGCTCCCCACGTCCAAAGTATCTGGAATATACATAATGTCTATGAAACACTTCCATCCACCGCCTTTTATGATGACTTGTTGGTCTTACGCGTTAACGTAGCACGTGGTAGTGTTTGCCCTCGCCTTCCCTTTAAATCCAAGCAAATAGGTTATTCCGTGCAAGTCTAGCAAAATCTGCAAGCGGTTCTGTCCTTCTTTGGTACCAGGTCTGTTCCGAAGCTGCACTGCTGCTGACATCCCTCTTTTCTTGCTCCCGRTTTTATATTGGAGGAGAGAGGACTGAAACTCATGTCCAAACACTCCTTTTGGATGCAGTARGGCACCTTGTGCTATATTTTCAAACAAAGAGCTTCAGCACAGCCAGACCTAACAACAGCGTTCGAAAATAAATGCCCGTCTTTATAACACATTTGCTTCCAAAAATGCAGTTCCCACCCGGAGCCCCCGTGCGGCAGCTGAGGTGCCACCGTCTCCAGAAGGAGCCCGAATGGGAGTCCAGCCGGAGCAGCGGTGTCGAGAGGCACTAAACGCCCCCAAAAAACAGCAGAGCATCTGCAAAACTCAACAGAAATTCCCTGTTTTCCACAATTCTGTGTCGTCTTCAGCTCGCTRAGCAAGTCGGGTGGAACTTGCTCCTCTGCACCGCTGCCTGCTGCATTTAATTTCCATTTTATGTACATATTTGTGTAAATATATATATATATAAAAAAAAGTAGTAGTAGCTACTGGTCTGTGGCCACTACAAGCAGCTAAGAAATGCTGGCCTTTATGGATGAGAAAATGACAAGCTTTTTTCTTTCTTTTTTTTCWTTTTTTTTTTGACCTTTTTACTATTCCCTCATAAGTATCCATGGTAACATGACTGTTTCTTTTGATGCTGATATGTAGCATCAAAATAACAATAAAAGCTGATTTAGATTAATGTGGTGGAACAGAACTGKCTTCCAGGTGTACTGGGAAAACTGCAAGAGCAGGGATACAAGTAGGAATACTCATAAATACCTCATTTTATTTGAATTTGGCTATGCATACTGCATTTCTTTCTTTTTATCCTTTTTTTTCCCCCYCCTTTCTCTGATTTTGTTATTGAGTGAAGGACAATTTGGTGGGTTATTTCTATTCGTGTGCCCTCTGAAAGCCTGGCCAAGGGCTGCTGCTCTCTTCAAAAAGGGTCCTGTTCCCTGCAAACAGCAACTCCGCTGTTTGCATTGATGGGATCCGGAGTTGCCGCACGGGAAGCAGTTGAATGCAGCGATGGGCTGGCTAAAATCCCAAAACTTCTTTTATACATGGGATGTGCAATGGAACTTCAGGGTTGCATTTCTATGTGAGCAGTTCATCGTCCAGGCAGCTACAGCCCCCTCTTGTAATGCTCATGCCTGATGCACCTGCATGCACAGTTGGGTTTTCTTGGTCTTATAAAAATACCTCTTGTTGAAGTGCAGTACTTGCATAGGTCAGAGAAAAGACTTATCCCAGCTGCATTTGTGCCCGTTTCTTGCATATCGAGTCATTTCGTGTTTTAATTTCTGCCCAGCCTAGGGAGAAGCAGAACTTCCCTGGCCAGCAGGTGCCCTTGGGTTGTGAGCGGGATGCGAGCGCTCGGATGCTGCCAGCACCTCTGTCGCCRCTGCTCGAGTTCAATCGAGATGAAGGTGAGATGAAATGCAAACCTGGGAATTGGGGAGTGGAGGAGTGGAAAAAGAAAACACCTAACTTGTCCTAAAGGTTTTATGCATTGCTCCTGGTGGTCAGGGGCTTGGTGAGATGACATCAGTGCTCCARAACGCCGTTTTGGAAGCACTTTCTGCTTTTCTCTTAGACTCAGCGTGGTAGCACAAGTGTGTTCTAGTTATTGGGGWGGCTTCATTCCTGCGAGGAGGAGGAGGAGCGTGGTGGGGATGCTCGGAGCCGCGCGGTGCCCCCTCCATCCCTCCCTCCCTCTCTTTTTCCTTCCTCCCTCCCTCCTCCCGGGTACCACTTAAGCGCCTGGCGGTGACGGAGCGGCTGTGCGGAGCCGCGCGGGCTGGCGGCCACCGCCGCTCGCCTGCCTGCTGACATCACCCCGGCGCACGTCCCTCCGTGGGCTCCCTTCCATCCGGCCGTCCATCCATCTATCTGCTTTTCCTTGGCAGGGAAGAGCCGGAGCTGAGGAAGTGGCGGCGGCGACGCCGCGGCCCCCGGCATGAGATTCCTCCCCGCCTGCTACTTGCTGCCTCTGCTCYCCGCGCTGGTCTGGGGCTCCAGGTGAGTGCGGAGTTGCGGAGCCGCCAGCTCTTCCTTCGGCTCTGGGGGAAGAGCGTCTGTGTCCGCCTCGGCGGACAAGTTTGGAGAGCAGGTCCCCTCTTCTGGAGCTGCTCCCGGCCTCCACGAGAGTCTTTGCTTGGCTGCTCCGGGCTTCCCGTGTGGTTTGGAAGAGCTGCTCCTCTATATGGTGACCTAGAGCTCATGTGATTAGACAAGGCACCTCATTATAAGCTTTGTATATGTGGCAGCAAAGCAGATAGAAGCTGTTCCCCTGGGGGGGGGAAAAAAAAAAAAAAAAAAAAGCTTATACCTGAAACTGAGAATATTCCAATGTTTTCTTGCCCCCTTATAGAGCAGCCTCCGGCAAAAGAAAACGTATCTCTTGCACAACCTCTTTCTAGTTTAGGCTTTTGTAGCTGCATGTAGATTTAGGACTAACCTTTGCTGCTGTGAAATACAGGTGAGAGATTGCAGGGGTGTCTGCCTGCCAGGAGGCACGTTTAAAAGTTGCTGCAATCCACAAGCGCTGCCGTGGGTGCCTATATAATAAATTACCGGGGGGAAAAACATGAGCCAAACGTATTGCAGCTTGCAAGGAAAGCCTGCTCTGCCTGTGCAGCCTCCTGATAAGATAATGTGTCTTGCACGCGTGGATGTGGCGTKTTGGGCAGAGATAACGCTGAAGCATCGTGCCGTCCACGGATGCAAAGGTAACACTGATTACAACGTGGGGAGCTTATAGCACTGCTGTCAGCCTGGGATTTTTAGCTTCCAGGTGCTGCTCGGCCCATGCAGCCCAATTCTGACTGTGCTGCTTCATTAATTTGTTCCTTTAGTAAGTGATTTCCCCCAAACTCTAAGTTTCCTCATGCGCTTTCTCATATATGCAATTTTTTGGGGGGGAAACTTGCCCAGTGGTTATTTTTGCTGCTCCGCTGTAAAGTCCCCACTGAAGACCTTCGTTTGACCCCTCATGTTTTAAGCCTGACTTAGACATTGAGTCTTTATTTAAAAAATAAGAGCAATTTAAGCATATAATTAAGCATAGCCAGAGCACCTGTCTTTCTACCTTCTCAAATGTGGGTGAATGATAATGGTAAATGTCTGTGAGCAGGAAAGGACCAGATGACAGGGACAAGTCGGGAGCATGGGAGCACTTGAGTTATTTCACTGCTCTGGGTGGCTGTTTTTCTTGAGTTTGGGCTCCTGGAATTTGCTATTTAGAGACTCTGGAACCCGAGGCAGCGTGAATCACCCCAGTGCGCTTGGAAACCTCAAACTCTGCGAAATCGGAACATACTGTGATTCAATAATTATTCTTTTTGATTCTAATAAGTAGTCTAAGGAAACATTCACCAGCAGTGAAGTGTGAAACTTCCTGTCAATTCAGTCTAGTGATTTTACATTCATTTACAAGTGATATATTCTTTGCTAAATTATACTGGGGGGAAGGAAATGTCAAGCCAGCCTTTGCAGTTGCAAATTTGCCTCTTGCGTGGCCTTTGACGCGTGAAAATGTGCCTAAAAAGTGTGGAAAATTACTAAAGTTTTTATATTTCCTTGCTGTTTGACATCCTGTTTTAGCTGTCACGGGTCGGCACTGGGACGAAAGATGTGGTGTAAAACTCCAAAAGCAGGTGTCTGTCACCTTCCTGCAGAAAATATTCTGTATATAACTAAATATGARCCGTAACCCTTTCTTAAGGATTCAAAAAGGTTTTACACCTCCCCTCCATTTCCAAAAATGATGGGATTGAGTATGAATAAGTTGGAGGTGGCATGTGAATACTAATTATGAATAACATGTCTCTAAGGGGTGCATATCTTCTCATAAGGCTATAATCTTTTTGTGGTGCGTGATGATTTACCCTTTTTAGATAAATGGACGATGAAAACGATGCATTTGGGATAGAAATTTCAGTTGTAATTTTAGCTAAAATCCCACCCAAGCACAGAACATGCTGTAAAATGAAGTTTTGCTCTCCGTAGCAGATGGGTCCATCCCATTAAGAGGAAAACTGAGCCTCTGCTGTAGGACTGATGGGATGGACTCTTCTCCTCAGCCGCTGTTTGCCAAGGTCTCTTGATTTTAACTGGCTATCTAGAACTCTTCTCACCAGCAGAGGATGGAAGTAATTTTTTAAAAATATCCAGTGTTATCGATATGCCCTCTACTGGAGAGATTATACTTTAATCTCCTTCGGGAGAAGGCAGTTAGTATTTCTATAAACATATGGTTAATGCATCGGCTTGGACCCCAGCACCTGCAGTTTTGCAGGAGCGGTGGCTCTTACACAACTGTGCAGCCCTAGGTAAGTGGTGACCACCTCAAGGGGCAGGGAGTTTTCCATCCTAAGTGTTTTTATTCCCCTTTCCTAGTGTATTCTGGTGGAGCTGCTGCRGAAGTGGAGTTATCTCCACTTCAGGCTCTTCTTGTTGGGTGCTGAATGCGACGAGYGGTGGCTGAGATGGATGTTATCTCCTGTTGCAGCCTTAGAAGACCTCAGCGAGCTGTGTCTCAGCCCCGTTGCAAGCCAACATGAGCCGAGGAGTTGAGCAGGGTTCACTGGGCGTGTTGTCTTTCCTCCTTATTTTACAGCGCCCTTGAAAGGGAGAAAACCCAACTGCTATCGCTCTTGAGATGTTTATTATGAAGTTCTGATTTTCTGTGCTGTGTGTAGCTGCTGTCTCTACATGGTCTTAACCACCTATGCATGAGCCAAACCACCAAGAAATTGCACAAAGCCAAGGTTTTTAAASCAAACCCTCCTTTTTATAATTTAAACTTGGTTTTGGTGCATCTTGGAGCACCTTCCAATCACATTTCCAGTTGGCTGTAGTACCCCAGAGGGAACAAACTGGAGGTGCTCATTCAGTTAGTTAAACGTGTCTTTGAATGGATCATGTAAAATGTACGACCCTAGAATCAGTCTCACTAAAGTTAAAGTAATAATCATAAAAAATGTTAAGGCGGGAAAATCTTTGAAGGGGAAAAGAACATGGTACAAACTATCCCRAAGTTTGTGTGTGCTTTCATGTCTGTTTTTATATTTCCTTGGTCTTCTGTCTCTTGGCAGCTCTGATAAATGTGAGGACTGTGTATGTTGTTCTAAAAAGTTATTTCTTTATTTTCCCCCCTTCCATTACMCAAAAAGAGCTTTTCCAGCAGCGAGCTCCATTAGGCTGAGTGCTCTCTAAGTGCACACAGCACTTAAGAACAGGGCCTTTTCCTGCAGCTGGGGCCATGGGTGACCTTGGGCTTCTGCATGGAAAATAAATGTTTATGAGGGATTCGCCTGCACCAAGTTGCTTGTTTGGRTCAGTAGTGGTGTTCTGCAACCCAAATGACCTTATCTAATGACATTTGTTTAACGAAAAGCACCTGTTTTCAAATATTACTTGGACAAATACTTTTTTTTTTTTTGCTTGCCAGTGTTTTTTTGGGGCGGATCTAAATCCTGACTCTTTTAAGCAGCTCGATATTAAGTAAAGCTCTTTTCCTATGATAACAGCCTCTTTCCTGACCGTGCATAAAGTCCGACAGAGCTTTGATACTTTGAAAAATTTRATTAAAAATATTTTTATAGTTGATAACGGGCCCGTGAATCCAACATGACGCAGCTTATTAACAATAATACTGCTACTGCAGCAACTCATTAAATGGAGGTACCAATAATAGGGCTCTGAAGGACAGAACTTGCGTTATTTTAATGGAACASAAATGGCTAGCATTATTTTTTCTTTTTTCTTTTCTTTTTTTTCACCCTAATAGTACAGTTTCCTGGTAGCACATTAAATTGCTGTTACTAAATGATGRGTAATTCAGTGGCACCAGGGAAATGTCACCCCTGGGTCTCACAGCAGGGTAAGAGCAGCGAGTGCCTTCCTGGGAGGCGGATGGTGCCTGGTGAAGGTGAGGGAAGGCCTTGGAAGTGCTGCAAGTCTCCTGGATTCCATTTACCTTATAAAAGAGGACAAGTTGACTCAATGACTGATATTCTCCTTAGTATTTGTTAGCCTTGGCTGCTGTTTTCTGAGGGGCTTGAAAATACTCATATTTTCCTCCTTCCTATCAGATAAAGCTACTTGAAGTACTTGAAAATCTGCRAATTGAGGAAAGTCGAGGTGAACGTCCTAGGCATTAGGGTGCTAAAAGTTGTGGATTTTTTATTAAAAAAAAAAAAAAAAACCTTTAGAGATTCTTTTTTCTAGTTCTTAGAAAACCTTGGACTGTTGCTTCCTATGACTATGAAGGTAGAGGAACCCTGGTGCCTTCCCCATGTTGGGATGCAAGAAGGAGACTTACGTGCTGACATCCCYATCTGCCCTGTCTTGCAACCAGGTAGTGAATAGCAGACCATCTAAATAAAATTCTCTGTGATTTTTCCCCGGAAAAATGCTAAATTCTGAAATTAGAAATACACCAAGTCTTTCTCAGTTTGGTTAGCAATGTTACTGATTAGCTGATTCTGTGATATTTTGTCTCTGGAATCTGAAAGGAAAAAAAAATAAAAGCAGGGAGGGGAGGGAAGGACACTGCTAAAAGCCTTTTTTACCCTCTGGAAAAGACTTATTTTTGATCCAATTTGCAGTTAATTTTTCTTGAAGTTCTGTGTAACCTCAAGTAAATCTTGAAGCTCTCTAGAAGTCAGTGTTAAAATCATAGTAGAGCAGTTGGAGTTCTGCTTATTATGCTGAGTATGCCACATTTCTTCCTGGGGGAATTAAAATGGAATTACTTTGGGCTTTTTTTGATATATTCCTTGTGATCAAAGAATTTCTAGATGATATCTAATGCTGACACTCTCCTGTTTCTTTCCCATTTATTAATTTACTGCTAGGGCTGACTGTAAGGATATCTGAAATGAAATTTGTAATCCCTCTTTCCRCGAGGCGACGGGGTTGGAGCTGCTTCTCTGTATTGAGCAGAAACCAGTTCCCAGATAGCAGTGTTGATGATGTATCACTCTGCAGGCCCATAAATTGCCTGTATGCAGCTT